ACTCCCCTGCCTCTGGTAATCACCATTCTACTGTCTACGTCTATGACTTCGACTTTTTAGATTTCATAAATAAGTGAGGTCATGAGGTATTTTTCTTTCTATGCTGGCTTATTTCACTTAACATCATGTCCTCCAAGTTCATCCGTGTTGTGATAAATGACAGAACTTCCTTCTTTCTAGTGGCTAAATAGTATTCCACAGTGTTTATAGACTACATTTTCTACATCCGTTCATCAGCTGAGGCACACTTAGGTTGATTCCCTATCTTGGCTGTGGTGAATAGTGCTGCAATAAACAGGGAAGGGCAGATATCTTATCAACGTGCTAATTTCATTTCCTTTGGACATACACCCAGAAGTGGGATTGCTGGATCACATGGTAGTTCTGTTTTTAATTTTTTGAGGAACCTCTGTGCTGTTTTCCAGAATGGATGTACTAATTTACCTCCCCACCAAGAGTGTACTTGGGTTCTGTTTTTCCACATCCTCACCAACACTCGCTATCTTTCATCTTTTTGATAACAGTCATTCTAATAGCTGTGGGGTGATATCTCACTGGTGTTAATTTGCATTTCCCCGCTGATTAGGGACTTTGAGCATTTTTTCATGTATTCGTTGGCCACTCATATGTTTTCCTCTGAGAAATCTCTATTCGGATCCCTTGCCTATTTTTTAATCAGATTCCTTGTTTTCTTATTATTGGGTTGTTTGAGTTCCTTATATATTTTGGGTAATCCCTTATCAGATGCATGGTTTGCAAATATTTTCTCCCGTTCCGTAGATTGTTTCTTCATTCACTCTGTTAATTGTTTCCATGGCTGAGCAGACACCTTTTAGTTTCATATAATCCTATTTATTTCTTTTTGCTTTTGTTTTCTTCTAGTAGTTTTATAATTTCATTTCTTATATTTAAGTCTTTAATTGACTTTGAGTTGGTTTGCGCACATAGTGTGAGACAAAGGTCCATTTTCATTCTTCTGCATGTCAAAATCCAGTCGTTCCAACACCAGAGTAATTTTTAACGGTATTTAACTTCCACCTTAAACCTTTATTCTTGCCGGGCGCGGTGGCTCAAGCCTGTAATCCCAGCACTTTGGGAGGCCGAGGCGGATGGATCACGAGCTCAAGAGATCGAGACCATCCTGGTCAACACGGTGAAACCCCGTCTCTACTAAAAATACAAAAAATTAGCTGGGCATGGTGGCGCGTGCCTGTAATCCCAGCGACTCAGGAGGCTGAGGCAGGAGAATTGCCTGAACCCAGGAGGCGGAGGTTGCGGTGAGCCGAGGCCGCGCCATTGCACTCCAGCCTGGGTAACATGAGTGAAACTCCGTCCCAAAAAAAAAAAACAAAAAAAAAAAAAAACTTTATTCTTCCTTCCAGTAACCAGAGGAAAGGCATGGTTACTCTTCACCCACCCATCTTCTTCACTAGGCCGTCCAAACCCAAGTTTAAGGGAGTTCCCCCTTCTACCTCCCTACAAGACTAAAAATTGAGGGCATAAAATGACTTTATCTTTGGGAGCCCAGCATGCTTGGAGGCAGAACGTGGGATCCAGCAGGACACTGATTCCATTCCTACTTCTGCCGCTAAGCTCTGTCATCCAGCAGCTCCTCAATGGCCTCATCTGGGAAATGGGATAACACCTCCTCTGCAGGTTTGCTGGGAAGACTAAATAGATACAAGAAAGCCTCACACACAGCCTAACACACAACAAGGCAACTCCTACTCCCTCCCTCCCCCGTTCTTCCCAGGAGAGACAGAGCTGAGCCATATTTGGACAATGTCGCCGCTTAGTGGCTGCGCTCAGAATTGCCCAAAAGACCAACAGTTCCTGGATTTGAGGAAAACAGGGAAGCACTTGGAGGTGTTGGGTTTCCGAGAGGCCATTTGGCATTAGGGAAAGTGACTGGACACTGGCATCTGGAAAACCAGGTTCAGGTCCCAGCCTTGCCAAATATTAGCTGTTTGACCCTAATCAAGATATGTAACTTCTCTAAGCCTCAGTTTCTTCACCTGCAAAATGGAGACAATAATTGTCATCTCATTAGATTTAACATTCAGTAAGTGTTTGCTGCCATTATCTTGCTCCTGACCTTCTTCCAGCCCCTCTCCCCATCCTGATAAACATCAGCTTCCTGATTCCCGACCCCTCGGTAGCTCCCTTGGCCACATCTTTTGAACTTTATTTTTCAGATATGTAACCTAATTTCCCCAAACCCTTTACCCCTCATGGGAAGAACCTCAAAGTCTGCAGTCTTATCCTCAGTACTTCAGGTTTAAAAACTCTGAATTCTTATACTATTTAGTAACAGACTCCTGGTGATATATTTATGGTGACAAAGTTATGTTGACCATGACCTATAAAGCAGTAAACCAAGATACTCCCCATTAATAAGAGAGTATCTTCCAAATAACAAGGGCTCTTCTGGACACAGACTCTGAGATAGTTAGGGCGAGGGACTGTTTCCCCACATTCGGGAACACCCCGAGACTCCGTGACCCAGGCTGCAAACACTTCCCTGGTGGGAGGATGCATGTGACCCTCCTCCCAAGGACACATGCCCACCAGCCTTGCTTCCATGCTGACCAGCGCCTTCCCAGTACCAAGCCCTCCTTAGAAGGGCTGAAGCCTTAGTCGGCTGGCCTAGGAAAGCCTGGGTTTTAGAACCGCACAGAATTGGGTCTGAATCTCATTTTCTACTTACTACCCGAGTGACCCTGGGCAGATTGCTGAACTTGCCTGAGCTGTGAGCTCATCACAATGGGACACTTCGGGAGTGTCTGCGTTGAGTAAGTGAGGTCCTGTACGTGCTCAGTGAGCTACGCTGCAGATGCTCAGCCTGTGCTCCTATTTCATTCTGAACCCAGCATCTAGGAGATCCTTCCTCCATTATGCAGGTGCTGGCTTTACCACCAGACCAAAGTCCAGGACGCCCATTTGTGGCTCTGCGTTTTCCAATTTTTCTTTCAAAATAAAACTACTGGACTGACTCAGGGCTCACACCTGCATTCCCAGCACTTTGGGAGGCAGAGGCAAGAGGATGGCTTGAGTCCAGGAGTTCGAAACCAGCGCAGGCAACACAATGAGACCTCATCTCTACCAGAAAAAAAATCTAAACATTATCTGGGCGTAGTGGTGCACACCTGTGGTCCTAGTTACTTGGTAGGCTGAGGTGGGAGGATTGCTTGAGCCAGGGAGGTTGAGGCGTCGGTAAGCCCTGATAGCACCACTGCACTCCAGTCTGAGCAATAGGGGGAGACACTGTCTCAAAAAAAAATGTCCTTGAGGCTAGGAAATGCCCAAGGATAGATACACACTAATTCTTTTCGTCAACTTATTTCTGCATTTTAAAGTATGAACCACTGAAACCCACTTACAATGAAAGAAACTTTTAAAAGTGTATATTTATAACCCTTCCCTCCACACCCCCAGGGGATCCTTCACTCATCAGAAAGAAATGTCATTAAACCTAAGCAAATCGATAAGTTGAATAAATTATATATTTGTGTCCAAATGACTAGGAAAAACAGGTTATGAAAAAGGCAATTTTTTCAAATAAGCATTAGAAAACCATGGGGTAACTGAACAAATGTTTTCCCAGGGTCGCAGTCTCTGGGGTAGAGTTAAGTGTGTGACATGATCCCAAGCGCCTCAACAACCAAAATACCAGTCAGAGATAAGACCATGCTAGTAATGACGCAGAGGCCCTCGCTCCTGTCTGGGATTTGGTAAGAACATCCTGTTCTTGCCAGGACCCTCACTTGGCGCCAGCTCCCTCAAGAAGTGGGTGCTTTCTCCCCCACTGGCCTTCAGAGACCTTCAGACCCCACAAATGATGTTGGCTGCTATTGTTAAAGTCCTCGAAAACTCCTTACATGTCGAGGGACTCAGAAAGAGCTACTCTCATCGTGTTCATGAAAACAGAACCGCCATCTGCAGAGCCAGCTGTGAATTCTTGACCCAGTGTAGCCCTATTGAACAAGATTTTAGATGAAGTCCAATCCACCCAAGGATCAGACAGAATCTAAAGACAACTGAGCCCCTGATCACAGTTCCACCAACCATGGATCATATCAGGACCCAGTTGAAGCCACATAACCTGTCTCCAACCCCACTGAACTTAGACCCCAGAAGCAATGCTATAAGCCTGGGGATCAAAGAAGAGACAGTCTTTAGCTTCCAAAACCAGTCTGTAAAAGCTGAAAGATGTGTTTGCTTCTTCCAGTGCACCAACACGAATGCCAGGGACGTGGACGACAGTATATCAGATTACCCAGAAGTCTCCACTTATCTCCTATCTGGCAATTGGTGACACACACATTCTGCTGTTGCCTTCCTTTAATTCACCAAAACATTACCAGCATTAGGCAGTTGTGTGTAATTAACTTACCGAAATTCCTGTGGTTGTGATTTGTGCCCACATGCATGTTTATGCCTTAGCACAGGCTGGCTGGGATGTCAAAAATGAGGTTAGAGGTCTGGATTTTCAAAACGTCCCTGGTGTTTTGCTAGCGTGGAATATTCATTTGCTGCCTCTCTCCAGGGTTCCTGGCTTCAGCCACAGGGCTGGTTTCCTCTCTGAAGGCTTGTCTTTTGCATTCCCCTCCCTTACAAATAGTGTTCATAGCCAAGCACTTCTCAAAGAAGTTGATTCTGGAGAGCTGTAGACATGGGGCGGGGTGCATATGAGGCTTTGTCTCCATTGCCTTGAAATGAGCTGCCCAGATTTAGATTCCACATCAGAAGGAGTGTCTAACTCTAGAACTCATGGACTGCCTTTTGCAGTAACTTCCTCATTACCACATAGTGAGAATCAAGCCAATCTGGAATATCATCTCTCTTGGACCCGCAGAGCGGTTCTGGGTGAGAGCAGAGTGCATTCGAGTTGATGGCTTGGGGCCACATCGTGGGATGGGAGAGTGGCTGTGATGGCAGTGATGAGTCATGAGCTTACGGTCAGGGTCCAGACCCTGCCCCTTAATTAGCTGTGTGACCTTTCACAGGTCACATAATCCCTCTGGGGTTTGGGTTTCACAGCCATTAAATGGGTTTAATACCCAGAAACCTGACTACCTTGAGGTGGTCATAGGTCAGGCCTGCAGCTCCAGTCTTGGGGTGTTCTGCTTGGGCAGCCACCAAGGAAGACTACTTGAGGAGAAGGCGGCAGTGCCTTGGGGTTAGGAAGATGGTGCTCCTCCCTCACGGTAATGGGAGGGGGAGTTCTTGAGTGTCTTGGGGTATCCAGGTCAGGAGAGAAGAGGCCGTGATCCGAGCCTCAGCAGGTGGTGGTGAGTTTCAGGCTGCTGAGGCTGTGGCAGAGGGAGTGTTCCGTTCTCTGCCCCACCCCTTTGAAATACCAGGAGCAGAGCTGACACAGGCTGAAAGGGGAACTCCTAGTTGTGATGCAGCCAAGAGCCTGTCAGCTTCTGCAGGGGATTTTCCTTACCCTGAGTGTGTAGAGGGGTGATGACCACCAGCAGCTGAGAAACCATATAGCCGCCTGCACAGGTAAATGCTGATATTTGCATTGGAGACGTGGGGCGTTAACACTACTCTCCGAAGGAGATTTGTTCTTTTGCTTACAGCTTCTTACCCAGGCAACTGAGAGTTGAAGTTTTTGAAAAATCAAAAAAGAAATTTAACTTATTGTATGGGGTAGGGACAAAGGAAAGTCACCAAGTTTAGGAAGGGCATAGTCCAGCCTTGCTGTCAGTGGTTGACTTCTGTGCCTGACCGTAGGATGACACTGGTGACCGGGGCCACCTGGGGCACAGCTATGAACCCAGGGAAGCAGGTAAGCATCAGGGGAGGGTGTGTGACAGGATACTAAGCTGGCTGTGCCCGAGAGAAAGGGGCCTGTCTAACGCACTGCAAGGAACATCACAGAATGAGCTTGTACCTTTATTTCTTCCGCAATTACGTATACACTCAATGCGGATGAAAGAGCTGAGTGGCTTTCTCTAGACTTGCGGGCTGCCCCCCCAGTATCCCCAGTAGTAACTTGCTGGCCCGGCCCTTGAAGCGGGGAAGAGTGTGAAGGGCTCCTGTGCTGAAGCTTGTCCTCATTTCTTACCTCATCCCCTCTTCTGTTTCTGCTGCAGCTGAACAGGCCAGCAGGCAGCCTGCCATGGGGTCCCACTCCAAGAACCGGTTCTTCTGCTGGGCCTCTGGGCTCCTGGTATTCATCAACCTCTTCCTCAGTGAGTGGCATGGTCCCTGGGAAGGGAGGGCAATGGACGGCGGGGCTGGGCTAGCTGGCCCCTGACCACCAGGTGGGCTGTTCAGCTTCTGATGTCTTTGGGCAACAAAAGAGGAAAACACTCTGTTATGATTTACAAATGCAACATGTTTGGTTTGGGTCCCGAGATGGAAGGAATGGAAAGTCCTTTCGGTGGTGAGGAGGCTGGGAAACCAGAGCCAGGGCTGTCTTGGCTGCACTGAAAGAACCGTCACCCACTGCCTGCGCCTAGGGCGGATCTCCAAGCAAATCATCACAAAGGGGAAAGCCCTTAGGAGTCTCAGTCTTAAAACTGTGTTTGTAGTTTGCATTCGTGTTCACTTTAAAAGTTAAAAAGAACGTATCTTTGTGTAAAATGTGTCTACAGCAGGCGCCCTTCACAGCCCTGTGAGTTGCCTTTTCCTCCACTAGGAAATGCTGCTCAGACCCTCAGATGAAACCATGTTTATCACGGTGCTGTTCTAGGAAAAACCCTGGAAAGAAACAGGAGGGGCCTATCAATTCAGGAACAATTGAACAAGCTGAGAAATATCATATTGTGTCATATATAGAGGCTTACAAAAACAAATGTTCTAGTTATCTGGAAGGAATGTTCAACTTCTGTGAAGTAAGATGCATAGATTCCCATCGGCAAGATTCAGGAAACTGAATACAATACAATCTTCACTTTATAAAAGAAAAGGCAGCCACCAAAATTTAAGTATTTATGCATCTACATGTTTCTAAGACTGCTAAAAATGTGGAAGGAATCAGTAGGTTGCCAACATGGGCTACAGGCGGGTATAAAATTGAGGAGGACACAGAGGGAGAAAGTAGAGAATAAAGAAAGTTAAGCAAAAAGTGAACTGAAAGAAAAACTGTCCTAATCTAGGCTGTATATCACATTCATTATTTTATGAACAATTACATGGTTGCATGTGTACTAAAATTAAATTTTAAAATGAGGAAATAATAAGATCTAGTGCATATGAATTTTGATGGAAGCTGTTCTTGTTATAATTTTTTGGTTTTATATCCCAGACACCAATTGAACTTGCAGGGAATTCTATGAAAGCCAATGGATTAGAGAGCACTTTAACATTGGAGGTCTTGAAGGAACAATGAGCTTGGCAATAGAAAGGGGTTAGATCCCCTTTTCATCAACAGCAAAATACGGGCTTTTTCCACTTCTACAATGTTGTTTACCTGGAAATATGTCTAACGGTGTAGAGTTTTCTCTATAGGCACTGGAGTTGGAGAATTACTAAAGAAAGAAAGAGAAGGAATGAAGGAAGGGAGGGAGGGAGGGAGGGAGGTGTTCCTGTGTTAGTTTGCTAAGAATGATAGTTTCCAGCTTCATCCATGTCCCTGCAAAGGACATAAACTCATTCTTTTTATAGCTGCAGAGTCTTCCATGGCATATATGTGCCACATTTTTTTTTGTCCAGTCTATCATTGACAGACATTTGGGTTGGTTCCAAGTCCTTGCTATTGTGAACAGTGCTACAATACATATGTGTGCATGTGTCTTTATAGTAGAATGATTTATAATCCTTTGGGTGTATACCCAATAATAAGATTGCTGGGTCAAATGGTATTTCTGGTTCTAGATCCTTGGGGAATCGCCACACTGTCTTCCACAATCGTTGAACTAATTTACACTCCCATCAACAGTGTAAAAGCCTTCCTATTTGTCCACATTCTCTCCAGCATCTGTTGTTTCCTGACTTTTTAATGATCGCCATTCTAACTAGTGTGAGATGGTATCACACTGTGGTTTCGATTGGCATTTCAAAACCACATTTTTCAAAACCACATTCTCGCTGTTTTTTTGATGACTAGTGACGAGCTTTTTTTTCATGTTTGTGGGCAACATAAATGTCTTCTTTTGAGAAGTGTCTGTTCATATCCTTCACCAACTTTTTGATGGAATTGTTTTTTTCTTGTAAATTTGTTTAAGTTCTTTGTAGATTCTGGATCTTAACTCTTTTCCAGATGGGTAAATTGCAAAAATTTTCTCCTATTCTGTAGGTTGTCTGTTCACTCTGATCTCTGATGATAATATCTTTTGCTATACAGAAGCTCTTTGGTTGAATTAGATCAGATTTGTCAATTTTGGCTTTTGTTGCCATTTCTTTTGGTGTTTTAATCATAAAGTCTTTGCTTGTGCCTACGTCCTGAATTTTATGGCCTAGGTTTTCTTCTGGGGTTTTATGGTTTTAGGTCTTACCTTTGAGTCTTTAATCCATCTTGAGTTAATTTTTGTATAAGGTGTAAGGAAGGGGTCCAGTCTCAGTTTTCTGCATATGACTAGCCAGTTTTCCTAACACCGTTATTGAATAGGAAATCCTTTTCCCATTGCTTGTTTTTGTCAGGTTTGTTGAAGATCAGATGGTTGTAGATGTATGGTGTCATTTAAAGTAGTCTTTTCTAATTCTGTGAAAAAAAAATCAATTGTAGCTTGATGAGGATAGCATTGAATCTATAAATTACTTTGGACAGTATGGCCATTTTCACAATATTCATTCTTTCTATCCATGAGAATGGAAAGTTTTTCTATTTGTTTGTGTCCTCTCTTATTTCCTTGAGCAGTGGTTTGTAGTCCTCCTTGAAAAGGTCCTTCACATCCCTTGTGAGTTGTATTCTTAGGTATTTTATTCTCTTTATAGCAGTTGTGAATGGGAGCTCACTCATGATTTGGCTCTCTGTCTATTATTGGTGTATAGGAATGCTTGTGATTTTTGCACTTTAATCATGTATGCTGAGACTTTGCTGAAGTTTATCAGCTTAAAGATTTTTGGGCTGAAACAATGGGGTTTTCTAAATATACAACCATGTCATCTGCAAACAGAGACTGTTTGACTTCCTCTCTTCCTATCTGAATACGCTTTATTTCTTTTTCTTGCCTGATTGCCCTGGCCAGAACTTCCAATACTATCTTGAATAGGAATGGTGAGAGAGGACACTTTTGTCTTGTTCTGATTTTCAAAGGGAATGCTTCTAGCTTATGCTAATTCAGTATGATATTAGCTGTGGGTTTGTCATAAATAGCTCTTATTATTTTGAAATACGTTCCATCAATACTTAGTTTATTGAGAGTTTTTAGTATGAAGGGGTGTTGAATTTTATTGAAGGCCTTTTCTGCATCTATTGGGATAACCATGTGTTTTTTGTCATTGGTTCTGTTTGTGTGATAGATTACATTTATTGATTTGCATATGTTGGATCACCCTTGCCTCCCAGGGATAAAGCTGACTTGATTGTGGTGGATAAGCTTTTGGATGTGTTGCTGTATTTGGTTTGCCAATATTTTATTGAGGATTTTCTCATTGACGTTCATCAGGGATATTGGTCTAAAATTTTATTTTATTTTTGTTATGTCTCTGCCAAGTTTTGGTATCAGAATGATGCTGGCCTCATAAAATGAGTTAGGGAGGAGTCCCTCTTTTTCTATTATTTGGTATAGTTTTGGAAAGAATGGTACCAACTCCTCTCTGTACCTCTGTAGAATTCAGCTGTGAATCTGTCTGATCCTGGGCTTTTTATTATTATTATCATTATTATTTTGGTTGGTAGACTATTAATTACTGCCTCCATTTCAGATCTTGTTATTGGTCTATTCAGGAATTCGACTTCTTACTGATTTAGTCTTGGGAGGGTGTATGTGTCCAGGAATTTATCTATTTATTCTAGATTTCTAGTTTATTTGCATAGAGGTGTTTCTAGTATTCTCTGATGGCAGTTTGTACTTCCGTGGGCTCAAAGGTGATATCCTCTTTATCATTTTTATTGTGTCTATTTGATTCTTTTTTCTTTTATTCTTTATTAGTCTGGCTAGTGGTCTATCTATTTTGTTAACCTTTTCAAAGAACCACCTCCTGTATTCACTGATTTTTTTGAATTTTTTTTTTTTTGGCGTATCTATCTCCTTCAGTTCTGCTTTGATGTTAGTTATTTCTTTTCTTCCACTAACTTTTGAATTTGTTTGCTCTTGCTTCTCTAGTTCTTTTAACTGTGATGTTAGGGTGTTGATTTTAGATCTTTTCTGCTCTCTCCTGTGGGCATTTATTGCTATAAATTTCCCTCTAAACACTGCTTTAGCTGTGTCCCAGAGTTTCTGGTACATTGTGTCTTTGTTCTCACTGGTTTCAAAAGACATATTTATTTCTGCCTTGATTTTGTTCTTTATCCAGTAGTCATTCAGGAGCAGGTTGTTCATTTTCCATGTACTTGTGTAGTTTTGAGTGAGTTTCTTCATCCTGAGTTCTAATTTGATTGAACTGTGATCTGAGAGACTGTTTGTTTCGATTTCTGTTCTTTTGCATTTGCTGAGGAGTGTTTTATTTCCAATTATGTTGTCAATTTTAGAATAAGTTTGATGAGGTAATGAGAAGAATGTATATTCTGTTGATTTGGGTTGGAGAGCTCTGTAGATGTCTGTCAGGACCGCTTGGTCCAGAGCTGAGTTCAAATCCTGAATATCCTTGTTAATTTTCTGTATCATTGATCTGTCTAATATTGACAGCGGGGTGTTATAGTCTCCCACTATTATTGTGTGGGAGTCTAAGTCTCTTTGTAGGTCTATAAGAATTTGCTTATGAATCTGGATGTTCTTGTATTGGGTGCATATCTATTTAGTATAGTTAGCTCTTCTTGTTGCGTTGATCTTGTTACCATTATGTAATGCCCTTCTTTGTCTCTTTTGATCTTCATTGGTTTAAAGTGTGTTTTATCAGAGACTAGGATTGCAACCCTTCCTTTTTTTTTTTTCCTTTCCATTTGCTTGGTAAATCTTCCTCCATCCTTTTATTTTGAACCTATGTGTGTCTTTGCACATGAGATGTGTCTCCAAATACAGCACACCAATGGGTCTTGACTCTTTATCCAATTTGCCAGTCTATGTCTTTTAATTGGGCCATTTATTTAAGGTTAATATTGTTATGTGTTAGTTTGATCCTGTCATTATGATGCTAGCTGGTTATTTTGCCCATTAGTTCATGCAGTTTCTTCACAATGTTGATGGTCTTTACAGTTTTGTATGTTTTTGGAGTGGCTGGTACTGGTTTTTCCTTTCCCTATTTAGTGCCTCCTTCAGGAGCTCTTGTAAGGCAGGCCGGGTGGTGACAAAATCTCTCAGCTTTTGCTTGTCTGTAAAGGATTTTATTTTTCCTTCACTTTTGAAGCTTAGTTTGCCAGGATATGCAATTCTGGGTTGAAAACTCTTTCCTTTAATAATGTTAAATATTGGCCCCCACTCTCTTCTGCCTTGTAGGGTTTCTGCAGAGAGATCCACTATTAGTCTGATGGGCTTCCCTTTGTGGTTAACCCAACCTTCCTCTCTAGCTGCCCTTAACATTTTTTCCTTCATTTCAACCTTGGTGAATCTGACGATTATGTGTCTTGAGGTTGTTCTTCTCAAGGAGTATTTTTATGGTGTTCTCTGTATTTCCTGAATTTGAATGTTGGCCTGTCTTGCTTGGTTGGGGAAGTTCTTCTGCATAATATCCTGAAGAGTGTTTTCCAACTTGGTTCCATTCTCCCGTCACTTTCAAGTACACCAATCAAACACAGGTTTGGTCTTTTCACATAGATCCATATTACATGGATGCTTTGTTCATTCCTTTTCACTCTTTTTGTCTAATCTTGTCTTCATGCTTTATTTCATTAAGTTGATCTCCAGTCTCTATATCCTTTCTTCTGCTTGATCAATTCATCCATTGATACTTATGAATGCTTCACGAAGTTCTCGTGTTGTGTTTTTCAGCTCCATCAGGTCATCATATTCTTCTCTAAATGCTATTCTAGTCACCAATTCCTCTAACCTTTTCTCCAGGCTCTTAGCTTCCACATATTGGGTTAGAACATGCTCCTTTAGCTTGGAGGAATTTATTATTACCAACCTTCTGAAGGCCACTTCTGTCAACTTGTCAAACTCATTCTCCATCCAGTTTTGTTCTTTTGCTGGTGAGGAGTTATGATCACTTGGAGGAGAAGAGGCATTCTGGTTCTTGGAATTTTCAGACTTTTTGTGCTGTTTTTTCTTTATTTTCATGGATTTATCTACCTTTCATCTTTGATGTTGGTGACCTTCAGATGGGAATCTGTATGGATGTCCTTTTTCTTGAGGTTGATGCTATCTTTTTCTGTTCGTTAGTTTTTCTTCTTATAGTCAGGCCCCTCTGCTGCAGGCCTGATGGAGTTTGCTGGAGATTCTCTTTGCCTGGGTCTCACCAATGGAGGTTGCAGAACAGTAGCAGCAAAGATTGTTTCCTTCAGGCCTATAATCCCAGCACTTTGGGAGGCCGAGGCAGGTGGATCACGAGGTCAAGAGATCGAGACCATCCTGGTCAACACGGTGAAACCCCATCTCTACTAAAACTACAAAAAATCAGCTGGGCATGGTGGTGTGTGCCTGTAATCCCAGCTACTCAGGAGGCTGAGGCAGGAGAATTGCCTGAACCCAGGAGGCGGAGGTTGCAGTGAGCCGAGATCGCGCCATTGCACTCCAGCCTGGGTAACAAGAGCAAAACTCCATCTCAAAAAAAAAAAAAAAAAAAAGATTGTTTCCTGTTCCTTTCTCTGTAAGCTTCATCTCAGAGGGACACCCACCATATGCCAGCTGGAGCTCTCCTGTATGAGGTGTCTGTCAACCCCTGCTGCAAGGTTTCTCCCAGCCAGGAGGCACGGTGGTCAGGGACCAACTTGAGGAGACAATCTGTCCCTTAGCAGAGCTCAAGCACTGTGCTGGGAGATCCACTGCTCTCTTCAGAAGTGGCAGGCAGGAACATTTAAGTCTGCTCAAGCTGTGCCCATAGCTGCCCATTCCTTCAAGTGCTGTGCCCCAGGGAGATTGGCATTTTATCTAAAAGCCTCTGACTGGGGCTGCTGTCTTTCTTTCAGAGATGCCCAGCCCAAAGGGGAGGAATCTAGAGAGGCTGTCTGGCTATAGCAGCTTGTCAAGCTGCAGTGGGATCTGCCTAGTTTGAACTTTCCAGTGGCTTTGTTTACACCGTGAGGAAAAAAACATCTACTCAAGCTTCAGTAATGGCAGGCACCGCTCCCCACACCAAGCTTGAGTGTCTCTTGTCAACTTCAGATTGCTGTGCTGGCAGCAAGAATTTCAAGCCAGTGGACCTTAGCTTGCTGGGCTCTGTGGGGGTGGGCTCCTCCGAGCTAGACCACTTGGCTCCCTGGCTCTAGTCCCCTTTCCAGGAGAGTGAACCATTCTGTCTTGCTGATGTTCCAGGTGCCACTGGGATATGAAGAAAAACTCCTGCAGCTAGCTCAGTGTCTGCCCAAATGGGTGCCCAGTTTTGTGCTTGAAACCCAGGGCTCTGGTGGCATAGGAACCCAAGGGAATCTCCTGGACTGCAGGTTGCGACAACGATGGGAAAAGCATAGTATCTGGGCCGGAAACACCATCCTGCATAGCAGGGTCCCTCATGGCTTCCCTTGGCTAGGGGTGGGAGTTCCCCGAACCCTTGTGCTTGCAGATCACCCTCCAAGGGCTGCAATCATTGTCTAACCACTCTCCATGAGATGAGCTGGGTGCCTCAGTTAGAAATGCAGAAATCACCCACCTTCTGCATTGATCTCACTGGGAGCTGCAGACTAGAGCTGTTCCTATTCGGCCATCTTCCTCCCTGTCTCTCTTGCTCTTGCTCTGACCATGAAATACGCTGGCTCTCCTTTGCCTTCCACCATGACTGTGAGCTTCCTGAGGCCCCCACCAGGAGCAGATGCTGGCTCTACACTTCTGTACAGTCTACAGAACTGTGAGCCAATTAGATATCTTTCCTTTATAAATTACCTAGCATTAGGTATTTCTTTATAGCTATGCAAAAATGGACTGACAAACCCATTAACAGGCTAATGTGGATCTTAAAGGCCTGTGTACCTGGTGCTAAGGGGTGCTGAGCCTCGGGTGGGGCCTAGTCCCTTGAGGGAGCTGAAGGGAGGGGGTGAGGCCTAGCCCAAAGGAGGGGCCTGGTGAACTGAGCTAGTGTATAACTGGAAACAAATATTTGAAACGCTTCCACATCTAAGGATTGGCATGAGCTATTTGCTTTCAGTGAGAGCCAGGGATGGGTATAAAGACAGCAGAATGGTGCAGGCTTGAAATGGGGAGGAGTTTACTCATTGGAGAGAACACTGGGTACCCTGCCACCCAGCAACAAACTCAGATGGACCTGGTCCAGATTGGTCCCACCCTGGTCCCCAGGAAGGACAGAGGTCTCTGGGTTCATTGTGGCTGTTCCTAGTGGGCAAAAAAGGGCTCAGAGGGAGGCGGAGCCGAGGCAGTTGTGCCCAATGGTCAGGGCTCTGTGGGAAAAGGCAACTGAGGGAGGCTAATCAGGGACCTCATGGGCATTGCATAGGGAGGTGTTTTCTTGGTGGCAGGGACACAGTGCCACCAAACAGTCCATTTGCTCCACCACACTTTCTGCCCCTGGCAGTTAGCAGGGTCTCCTGACTAGTTCTGTCCAGAAAATATGGGCAGAAATTACACCACTTCTGCAGTGCAGTGAACACCCCACAGGTGCCTGTCTGGTCTCCTTTCCCTGCCATGGGGGCTGAGGAGGCTGTGGGTTCCATATGGAGCTCCTACAAGGTATGGAGCCCTCACCCATGAGTGACATGACCCTTCTTCCACTATCTCTTGTGGGACATGTAGTATGAGTAATATACAAACGTCTCTTGTTCTTAGGCTCTGACTTTTGTAATTGTTTGTTGCCACAAGACAACCTGTCTAATTCACTTCCCGTTCCTATCCTGCCCCATCCTATACTGACCAGTTCCCCTCCTAGAATAAAAGGCAACGGAAAGCAACCTTCATTTTTGCCTTAGTCATGTATTGCTGTGTGAGCTGTTACCCTAGAACTCAGGGCCTTAACACAATAAGAGGCACTGTCTCACAGTTTATGGAGATCAGAATCCAGGTGTGGTTCAGCTGGGTCCTGTGGCTTAGGTACACAAAGACTGGAATGAAGGTGTTGGCTGAGGCTGCCCCCAGCTCCCTGCCATGTGGGCCTCTCCACAGAGCAACTCACAACACGGTAGCTGGCTTCATCAGCCTGAGCAGGAGAGAGTGATGGAGACAGAGGGTGTGAGCCAGACAGAAGGGACACTCCATCACTTTTGCTGCGTTTGCAAGTAATCAGTGCAGCCCATACTCCAGGGAGAGCATCACTCAGGGCTGTGCACACAGTGGGGAGACATCCTTGGGAGCCACGTTAGAAGCTGCCTCCTGCAGTTATGCACTTAGCATATGTCAGAAAATGTGCTAGGTGCTTTTGATCTAGAATCTCATTTGATCCTTACTGTCATTATGGGGCAGGTAAGAAAACTGAAGATCGGGGGGTTCAGGAACCTGTTCAAGATCACACTCCACTAGAACCAGAACTTGAGCCAGAATTGCTTCATATTTCTTATACTAGGCAGCCCTCCCAGAATCAAGGAAGGATTTGGATGGATTTCTGTCACTCTGAACCAAAGGTCTGTGTTTCTCTCATTTGTTCTTGATGAGAAAATACTCACGTTTCCTGTCTCCGTGCCCTAGGTGTCTGCAGCACTGAAGCCTACACTTCCGAAGCACATGATTCTGCCTTGGAGGTTTATAGAAAACCCATTCATCTGAAGGTGATCCGAGGCGGCTCTGTCTTGTTTAATGTGATCGAGAAGCTCCGAGTAGTTGTAGGAGCCGAGCTGCAGGAGGTTTCATGGGCTTTGGGCACTCTGTTAAATTACACACAGGTGCTGCAAGTCCGTAAGGGAGCTGACTCTCCAATCTGGTTGAGCCTCCAGGATAAGTTCAAGCAGAGGGTCCATGTGCCCAGCATGTGGTCTCTGAGGATTGAGAACCTGGCCCCTGAAGACAGTGGGCAGTACATGGCCATGATCCGCTCAACTCGGGGAAAAATGCTTGGCCAGGTTTTCTACCTCTCTGTCTATGGTGAGTGACACCCCCCCCATCCTCTGGCTTCTCTGGGTTTTTTGTCCCTAGAGTGTCACATAGGCCGCATGCAGGGTTCCATTCAGACACCAGCCTTCAGAGTCAATTTTCTCCACCAAAAATAAGGCACATGAGGTCTCCAGAGATAGCAGAGCTGAGATTCACATCAGGGAATGAAACTCTTTTAGTGTTTTGGGGGAGGAAATGGAAATTTGGGAAAATAGCAATTTTTCCAGTCACATTAATCGTCCTATATATGATTATTGTTACTTAATTTGTATAATGGTTTTTTATCACTGATGTAACAAATTGCCAAAAATTATTGGCTGAAAGCAAGAAAAATGTATTATCTCACTGTGCTGTAGGCCAGAGGTCTGACACAGTCTCCGTGAGCTAAAATGAAGGTGGTGGCGTGGCTGCATTCTTTCTGGGAACTCCAGAAAAGAACTTGTTATTTTACCTTTTTCACCTGCTAGTGGCTATTGGCATTCCATACATGTGAGATTCCACTCACTTGTCCCCTTCTTCTCCAGAGCCTGTGCCTCATCCTGGAATCCTGGCCAAGTTACTCTCTATCACACCAGGCTTGTGTAACATAACCCTGCAGTGCAGGGCTCCAGGGGCCACCGAGGACCTGAAAGTGACCTGGGTGAGCAAGGGCCTCCTCAGGGAGCTGGAGCAGAGCAAAACACCAGGACCAGCCCTGAACCCCTGGACCCTGGCTGTGAGTCTGCCCCTGTGCCAGTGCAACACCCACCTCACCTGTGTGGTCAGCAACCAGGTGGATAAGAAAGCTGCAATCTTAGATGTCAGGAAAGTGTGTGTCCAAGGTGAGTGGTGAGTGTAGCCTGCAGGAGAGGAGCTGCCGAGCTCAGCTAGCACTAGGGTCTGAGGGTTCTGGGATCTCTTCTCCTCCATGTGCGTTAGCACCACCTTCCACCTGCTCACCACACACAGCAGTGTGGGAGTCACCTCCACCTTAGTTCTACCTTTAAACATCCCTCCCATCCATACCTTCCTCGCTGCACCCCCACCATGTTCCTGCCGATGCAGACAGCAGCCTTCCAGGAGCTCTCCCAACCCATCCATCCTCCACTGAACATCCAGAGTGGGCTTTGGGGAAAGGGGGTCAAATTAGGTTGTTTCCTGTGTCATCTGTGGGATCCGGCCTCCAGTTACTTCCCCATGGAATTCAGGGCTCAGATGCTCCTCTGCCCATGTGTCTGGCCTCACCTATGCGCTTCACACCAAACTACTTGCTTTTATTTCCCCAAATATGTCCTGCTTTTTGTAAGCTTCTGGGCTTCTGATCGTCAGCCCTCCCACACCCAATGGCTGACATTTCCTCTTTTATTCCTTTCCAAGTATTCCTCTAAGCTATGACCGGCTTTGTGGGCACAAGACAGATGCCGTCACACAGGGTCCCACACTTCACAGGATTCCACAATTGGTTAAAACTCTGCCATTTCTTCCTTGAAGGTTTTAGTTTTTAATCAAGGGAATTTAAATTTGCATTGCACAGTGCCCTAAAAATGATGTATCTGGTTCTGCCTTCAGGCCCCATCTCTTTAGAGAGCTGTCCATGGCACCCAACACTGAGCAGTAATGGGGTGTTTATGCCACTGTCTGCCCTGTAGACTGCAACACCTTGATGTTTTGCTTTGAACCCTGTGCCAAGCACAGCTCCTACCAATGTCTGCTCACACTCAGTGTTCACTGAACGAATGAATGACCTGATACCCTATGTGCAGCCTGGTCCTCTCCAATCCTTCCTCCAGGAGCTGCTGGGGGACCTGACGTATCAGCATCACTTTAAATGAGCTGCCACCTCCTCCACTGACCCCCAACCTGGAGTGTTCAGCATTTAGCATGACCACAAGGCCCTCTGGGCACAGACTCCTGCCTCCCTCTGACTCTCCTTGCCACAGCTTCTCCCTGCCCTGCCCCTCTTCTGCTGCAGTGGGGTGCCAGTAACTCCCAGTGCTGGTGTCTTGACACTCGTTTCCTGACCTTCGTGCTCCTATTTCCTGGAATGCCCCACCCTAAATATATGATAATCTCATGCTCCCCCTCAAATCTCGGTTTAGCCAGAACCTCCTCTGGGAGGCCCTCCCTGAAGACCTCGTACAAGGTGGAAACCTCTGTTGCAGCTGCGATCCCTCTGTCTGGCAGTTGGTATTTTCTGTCTTCCCTCCTGTGTCCTGAGCTGCTGTAGACATCATCTTGTGCATCTCAGCATCCCTGGCATCAAGCAGCGGCTCCTAACCTGTTGAATGAATGGACCTGCCATGCTCCTCTGCAGCTTCTGCACCAGGCCCCTTTCCACTTCTCCCCCTGCTTTCTCCCTGTTTCCTCTTGGCAATGGGTGTGTCAAGTTATGTCCTGCCTTAATGTTTTCCACTCTCCCCATGTGACAGAAACAGCTCCACACAAACAGGACACGGTTAGACTGCTGCCAGGCCTCCTAGGGGATGTTGCGGGTGTGATGTTGGTCCTGGGAACTGGGCTGTATCTTTTGAAGACATGTAGGAAGAAAAAGAAGATGAAGATAAGAAGAGGCAAGTTGCATTTCTCCTTCCAAATCCAGACACTTCCCCTCCCTCACTGGAACCTCAGCTTCCTTTCTCCTGAATTTTTCTCCCAGGGAGTGGACTCTGCAGAGGGATGATGGGCATGGTCTTGGCCTCAGGGTTCAAGGCAGTGGGGAGAGATACATGTTTCTAAGGCACAGATTCAAGCTTTGATTTCCTCAGGTGGAGAACTGCAGGAGAACCATGTGTTCGATGATGATGTCAACCACTATGAAGATCTCAGGCTGCCAGTGTCTCAGAAGGACAAGGACAAGGTGAGTGCCAGGGCAAGGGCCACCCTGGGAAGTCCCAGGCCTCTCTGCCCAGCCTTGGGCTTCCAGTTCCAGGACCTGCCATTTCTGACCCCACCGCCTATTTATCTATGTCTGGACAATCACCAGCATTTACTAAGAAAATTTACACTTTAGAGGAATTCACAAGCAGTGCATGGCAGTGGGTACTGGCTCTGTGGGTCCCTGCAGATTCATTCTATCCCTCAGCTGACCCAGCCACCGTCTGTCTTGTATTCCAGGGCATTGGTGAACAATATCTGGAAAAAGAGGAGCCGCTCACTGCTATCTACAGTGAGGTTCATTATCATTGCCCAGGCAGGGCCATTAAGATCATTCAACTGGAGGAAGCAAAAGGATCTGACAATCCCAGGATATCTACACTGTGAGCCTGAAGCCTGCAGACCCCTGCCTTTCTTAGTGCTGGTCCGGTTTCAGCTGCCCCTTGTCTGTGTACTCTGATCTCATAGCCACAGTTCTATGGTGTACCCATGACCTGTTCACATTCTGAGACACCTCCCCAAGATGCACTTACACTTGGGCAAAGATTCTTTCCCTATCATTGATGTGGCTCCTGACCCCTCTCCTCCAGAAGCCTTCCCAAGGGGACCCTGTCTGACTGAGCAGGTGGAAAATCCCCGCCACCTCTGCCGTGTCACCGGTGTGTGTGCTTCTGAGGACACAAGCCGTTCCAGACATGGGAACGGTGCAGAGGTGTTGACTGTGCTGCAGAGGAGGGGGTAGGACCTGGCTTCTGGATGCTGAGTTGGAGGACAGCGTGGGTGGGTAGGAGCCCACAAAGGAGCACGCCACGGCTTTCTTTGCAGAGTTTGTACAGGGATCCCTTGGGGGCATCAGGCAGTGTGTGTGTGTACATGCATGTCGGGGCAGGTGTCTAGTGCACATTATACAACTGAACCAAAGCTACCTTTCTTTTCTCCTGTGCTAATCTGAACCTAATCTTCAGTCTTAGCCTGTGGATCCAAACTCAACTTCCTGTTGTGTCATCTCAAAAGCTTCCTAGCCTCTGTGTCTCAGAGAATGACCCTAAGAGGCCACAGTTTGGGGTTGTCTTAGGAAAACAGCTTCAGCTCTTTCCTTGGCGTAGGATAGAGCACTTAGCTATAAGGACAGAGGTGTGGTACTCTTCCACACCCCGTTGGTGAGGACTACTTGGGCTCTGATGGGTGAAGCTGTTGAGAAGGTCTGACACAGCCCTCTCCAGCCGCTTCTTATTCTGACCCTCAGTGCCCCAGTAGCTATGCTGGCCCCAAACCTAGGTCATCCACTTCTTTGCTCACTTGCATCCCTCTGCCCGAAATGAAATTTCCCTCTCCCTGTTTCTCACCCTCACTCCCACCTGCTGAAATACTGCTGCGCTACTCAAAGCCCTTCCCAAGATGCTTGTTCCATGGAGCTCTCTGGATCTCGAAGGTTTAAACATGACCTCCCCTCACATCTGACTTTTCTGAACACCTTGGACACTATGTACGGTCCCTGCCACAGTTTGTCCTGGGATGATCATGAATCTTCCTGCAGAACTAACCTGGGCTCTCTCAGGAGGATATGGGGCTGTGGGAGAATAGGGCTGAGGAGACAAGCACTTCTTGGTGCAAAGGGTCTGGGCCAACCTTTTCCCATCCCATGGGGTCAGCAGAGGGAGATGCAGCAAGGAGCTGCTGACAGACTGGCATGGCTCTACCTGGAAACAGAGGTAGACACAATGACCTCCCTTGACTATATTTGGCCTGAGCTCCTAATTAGAGACTTCCTTATTCCCTTATCCACCTCTTATTGTGAACCTGGCCACGCTTCCTCCATGGCATGTGAGTGTTTCTTCCCTCCTGAGGGATCTTCAGCTTCCTGCAGACTCTGCCTCCTGTTTGAGTCCCAGCTTCTAGGCAGAGATGGGTAACTCTAGCACCACAAGCTGCTGTGGCACATCTGGTGGCCTAGATCCTTGGGTCTCTTAGTTTCCCTCCCGGCTCAGGTGAGCTCATTTCCTCATTGCCACCCACAGAAAACAAAGATCTGAACAGAGTCCCTGCTAAGAGATTGAGCACTAGGAAATAATGCTAGGTGTCTGCCGGACGGTGGATGAGTGAGGCAGGAGGGAGAGGATCCATAGCAGGGCTTCATTTTTGCCGTCTTCCCATTTAGGCTGAGCATAAAGCTGATGGTGCCAGCCTCCTCCCTGGCTTCCCAGGTGACTGGACATGACGAGGTATCAGTGCACGTTAGCCCTGGGGCAGCATAAGATGAGATCATCCAACTGACCTTCCCACCACATCAAAGACAACAAAAAAAAAAAACAAGGAAACAAAAGAGAAGAACAAGGCTTTTCGGGCTGTTTTGAACCGGTTTTTGTCCCAGGCACTTTGCAAATATTATTCTTCTTAATTATTTTTTAAATACGTTTTTAATTTTAAAATACTAAATGTTTTGCTCTTCTTATGATTTCTTCCAATGATATCAAAATTAAAAGTCCTCTGCGTTCCAAGGATCCAATAAATTTTTGTTTGTATTTTCTTCTCGTTTAAAACATGACATTATAAGTACACATTTTACTCTTATTATCCTTTTAATTCTAAGAACCTGCTGGAGTATTGATCAACAGCATTCATAACTAGTTGGTGGCAAAGCAAAGCCTTAGATCCACCACTGGATGATTCCGGAGCTCCTATCTTTTCCCCTCATGACAACGGTGACTGAAGACCCTTGCTATGGCTTGGATGTTTCATGTTGGAAACTAATCCCCCCAATGCAAAAGCATGAAGAAGACTGGGCGTTTAGGAGGTGGTTAGGTGCCGTGAATGGGACTAGTACTTTTATAAAATGGTTTGAGGACAGTGTCACCCCTTTTGCCCTTCTGTCACTTCCACTATGTGAGGGCACAGTGTTTCTCCTTCCACCATGTGAGTGCACAGTGTTCCCGCCTTTGATCATGCGAAGACATGTGTTTCCCCCTTCCACCACATGAGGACATGGTGTTCCTGCCTTTCACCATGGGAGGACATAGTCTTACCGCCTTCCACCCTATGAGGACACGATGTTCCCCACTGCCACCATATGAGAACGTGGTGTCTCTCCTTCCACCATGTGAGGACACAGTGTTGCCTGCTTCCATCATGTAAGGACACGGTGTTGCCTGCTTCCATCATGTAAGGACACGGTGTTGCCTGCTTCCATAACGTGAGGACATGGTGTTCCGCGGTGTTCCCACTTCCACCACATAAGGGCACTGTGTTCCCCCTTTCCACCATGCGAGGACTTAGTGTTCTCCCCTTTCTCCACTGAGTGCACAGTGTTCCCCCTCTGCCATGTGATGATGCCACAATAAGATGCCATCTATGGAGCTGAAGGTGAGCTGAAGAGACACTGAATCTGCCTTACCAGATGCTGAATCTACTGACACCTTGATATTAGACTTCTCAGTCTCAAGACTGTGAGAAATAAATTTCTATTATATATAAATTGCCCAGTGATTTATGCATCTAAGGTATTTTGTTATAATAGCCAACAGACTGAGACACCTTTGGAATCCTGGAGTATTCAGATGGGAGTATCCTCCTGTTGCCAGTCTCCCAAGGATCCTGGTCTCCGACTCACGAGCCTCAACTCAGGCTGGGCTCCTTGGTGCTGGAACAACTAATGATTGAAAGAGAAATTACCCCTTAAGTGGCAGTAGGGCCCTGATTGGGTGGAAGACATGGAATAAGGTACAGTGCCCTCAAATGTAGACAAGACATTCAGAGAAGAGATATTTTCTTCCTTGAATTTTATCCAAGCTCCCTCATGTCCCTGTCAGGGATATCAGCATTACATCCTCAAATCACCTTCCACTGATGATATTATTCATAGTGTCATCCAGTAGGCTTTGCCTAAGTCTCTCATTTGGAGTTTCTACAATTCTGTGAGGCATATACCCCCATTGTACACATGAAAAAGTTAAAATCCAGAGAAGCTAACTACTTCATGCATGTTCTCCTGAGTGTAAGTAATGGAGATACGGTTTGCATCCACAGAGAAGCATATTTTTGCTCATTTTTGACTCCTTATTACTCATTTCAGATCCCTGATCAGCCAGTTTGTTCTCTTGGGTTATCTGTCAGAAAGCTTCTTGTATTCCATCTTCCTCTCGTTATTTCATTTCCGTTTTTTCACCTTCACCTTCACCATTTTTACATTCCACCAGCAATGTGGGAGGACATCTCCACATCCTCCCAAGTCTTGTTATTGTCCATGTCTCTGGTTATTGCCTTCTGAGTGTGTGTGAAGTGGTAACTCATTGTGCTTTTGATTTCCATTTCCCAAATGACTAATATCGTTGAACATCTTTGCACGTCGCACATTAACCATTGGCATGCCTTTTTTTGGAAAAGTCTCTTCTGTCTTGAATTCTTCCTGTCATGCATTGCCCCCACTTCTCCATTAAAACTGCTCAAGTCCAGGTCAGCAGGAAAGTCCATGTTGCTAAATCCAATGGTCAATGATCAGTCCTCATTTTCCTTGACGTGTCAGGAGCAATTAACATATCCTTCCTTGGAACTGTCTGCACCTCCAATCACCCCGCATCATTCTTTTCTTTCTCCTTAGTTTCCTTTATTGGTTTCTTTCTTAGGTCTCTAATCTCTGTTTTCTAGAATATCCCTGGGTTTAGACCAAGATGATCTGTCTTCATTTTCCACTCTCATTTTCTTTCTGAGATTGTGGCTCTGCACTAATTCCTGGACCCTATGCCAGTATAACCTTACAGAAAAGGGACTTTGCAGATGTCATCAAGTTCAAGGGCCTTGAGATGCAAATTATCCTGGATTATCTGGGTGGACTCAGTATAATCACAAGAGGAAGGAGGAAGAGGAGGAGGAAGAAGAAGAAGAAGAGAAAGAAAAAGAAAGAAAGAAAGAGAGAAAGAAGAAAGAAAGAAAGAAAGAAAGAAAGAAAGAAAGAAAGAAAGAAAGAAAGAAAGAAAGAAAGAAAGAAAATTTCTGTGAGTAGGACACATGAGTGTTTTGACCACATCACTGATTAGAAAAATTAGAATAAATATGTATAATATTTATTCTAAAAAAGAAAAGAATAAACATGATGAAAGTAATTGGTTAATATTTTCATAGTCATGAGTGGAAAATAGTTTTTCAAGCTCATCTCCAAAGCCAGAAATAATAAAGACGAGGGTTCAATAGATATGACCACAGAAAAATTACGATTTCCTGCTGGAAGAAATTGCTATGAAAACAGTTAAAAGGAAAAGGAAAACAAAAGAAAAATGTAAAAGTTTGCCACATGACCGCAGCTTACTTACCTACCTAGGAAGAGGCGAAGCTGTCACTCCAATCACACCCCCTCTTACTCCAAGTGGAAGCTATTAATTTTGTTGGATTGCAGCATATACTTTCCACCGTCTGCAGTTCACTTGCGGGTTCCAAGGAAGACTTACAGGCTCGGCCACTGTTCTTCTCTTATTTGTGTAGCTCCATATCTTGTCTCCCATGTAGGAAGGTCCTGAGCTACGAGGTTTGTTCTTAAGATGAGGAATGGGGTCTCAAAGACATTAACTATATTGAATTGAACGTATTACGTATAGAATGAAAGAATGGCTAATTTTAAATAAACTAAAATTAAACATTCAGTTTCTCATTCACGTTAGTCCTGTTTTAAATATCTAGATGGCTGGTGGCTACTGTACTATGCAGCACAAATATAGAACATTTCTATCACTATTGAAAATGCTATTGAACAGCTCTGTGTTAGGTTAGGTTACTGGGTGATTTTTTATTTTGTTCTCTCGCTTTTTTTTTAATTGTAGTTTTAAAGTTATTTTAAATGTTTAAGTGATATTTCTTTTTACACATCAATGGAGTAATATTTTTTAAATTATTGATCGTTTGTTCTTTTTGACTTTTCTGAATGTATTGAATACATGGTCTTCACCTAATAGGCTTGAGCCAAACATGTATGTGCCTTGGGGAGATTAGGACTTGATATAGAAGAAATGAAAAGAAGAACAGAGATGTTCAGCTTCTGGCAGGCAAAATAGGAAAACAGGATGCTGCAGCAAGTCAAAATGTGTGTGTGTGTGTGAGAGAGAGAGAGAGAGAGAGAGAGTTGGCCTGAGCTCATCATGGTGCAATAAGGAAGGAAAAGAGGGGGCAACAGCAGTAGTAGAAGCCAGCTGAGGTGCGCTCAGCCCTGCAAGGCCTAGTCCATGTCTGAACTGGGGAGGGTAGAGTAGGAGGTGTGTCAGGTTGATGATAGCGTGGGCTGCCACTTTCCATAAATGGTGAGAAGTGAAGCCTGGGTAAGTGCTCTCTCTTCTGAGCCTGGTACTGCCCACTGTCCTCAGGGACCAGGTTCTCAATGCTTAGGGATGCCATGTTGGGTATATGGACCCTCTGCTTGAAATTATCCTGAAGGCTGAAGCAGGTTGAGAGTTGCCACCCCTGGGGACTTGCAACACAACTGTGTAGTCTGACTAAGTAAGGTTCAGTGCTGCACAAGCCCTCCTCCAGCTTGGCTCCTAGAGCTACTTCTGGCTTTTTGATCACATGAAACAAGAAAGAACCTCCTTGCATTCCCTTTACAAGAACGTGGTCTTCAGAATTCTCCATTCCAGAGCCATGTGACCCAGAAATGTTGGCTGTGCAGCTGCAGACACCTAGGGCATCTGAAACAGGAAAAAGGAGTATTTTCTCAGTAAGGACAAATGAGAGAACCACAGAACTTTCCTTTTTAAATGAAATCCTTCTATCCCATTGATTCTAAAAAGGTAACTGAGCGTAGTACAACTGAAGTAGACCTGCATTCAAATTTCAAATTTCAGCCACAGCTTCCTCTTCTGCAAACTGGGGCTAGCGAGACTTCCCTCACTCTGTTGCCGCTCTGATGAAACACTATAAGGTCCCAAGCATCTAGTGCCATGTCTGGCACCTAAGAAGTGCTGGAACCATGGTTTCTCCTTCTTGGGAGCAGTACCCTAAACAATCCCAGCCAGGGTGCCATCCAGGCTCCCTCACTTGCTCCTGCTGCAGAGTTGTGACCATGAACTGCATCAGGGCCTCATCTGAGCCCTGACCTGCCCCGCAGCCACCATCCTAGGCCTCTGATCAGGCCCAGGGAGCTTACTGAACTCTCCATCCTCATTCTCTTCATCTCTCAGATCAGTGCTCAACCAGGGGAAGGCACCACAGAAGCTACCGCCTCTCTCCTTTCAAAGTTGCAGGGTTCTTTGGTTTGCTGCTGCCTGTTAGTATAACAGCTTACTGAGTCTGTAAGTTCTTCCTTGTATCTGACCTGCCTCCCTCCTGCTTAACTTAAATTGGACAATTTCTTGCCTTCACT